AGGGAGAAGGGGAATGCCTGCGATGAGAATACTTGCTAGGAGGAGACCGTGAACGAGAGTGCAAAGATCATCTAGAGATACACAATCATCATACTTGCCATGTAAGTCACACAACTCTTACTTAGATACACAACACTTAGTCCTTAGAAGTATTATCCTGTCGGAGAGCACTTGCACATAGAGCACTTAGAAAGTACCATCGTAGTTAAAGTCACTGGGACGCATTTCAAACAACCTATATACAATCCTGCTTTCGTTGATCAGATTGAAGTAGCAGTCTGAATTCATTACATTCATCAAATTGTCATCAAAAAGCAAGGGTATTCATCTAGTCGAAGCAGGTTACTTCAGACTGCCAGTAATCTTATTTTAGTTTTTGATTTGCCTATATGTACTATGATATAATTGTATAGCTGCTTCGTCAATCTCTTAGAAGCACTCCCGGTACTCGAGACAAGCAGCAAAACTACCTCTATACTTAGCATCAACATGAGATTTAGGACTGCGTAGTTATGATTAATGTTCAGAGCACCCAAACCTTCTTTGTGACCTGCTCCGAGTCTCAATAGGGACTAAGTATTAGCAGGTGTCGACAGCTACCTTTTGCCAACCAATGCAACAATATGCAGACACTATTGTTTATAATCCCAAAACTACTAAGACAACAAGCCTAAAGACTGATATATTTATATATAAAACTTTCAATAGCAACTTTAAGCGATCTACTAACGAGTTATAAAAAATCGCAGTTTTAGGAGCAAGGGCTTCAGAACCTTCAAAAAAATGCATAGTTAGACATGCGAGTCACGTGAAACTGAAGAGGTTGAGCTTGGTCTCGAAGGGCTGTCTTAACATAATCAATACGCGAAAAATAGTTGTCCAAAAGCTACATATAAAAGGACACTACCTTCTAGAGAAGATTGCGTACATGAAGAGAAAAACATTCAATGTATTCTCTGGTTGGTTGCGAACAAACGAGGGATATTTAGTTCTCAATCACATACCTTCTTCTAAATGAGCACTGGTGATCAAAACACACTAAGCCGCCTGTTGGATCTGCCAAGCCTCATCTGCTTTGGACTCCCGCTGTATATACGGCAGCTGTAGTTGTGTGAAAGCAGTACACAAATTCTACGATTGCTTCGAACTTTGAGCTGCTCTTTCTGAAACTTCAAAAAAGTTACTATACATCAGTAGAATGAAGAAGGAAGACACTGTATTTTGAGATAAAAAAACAAGCAAAGAATTAGTAAATCTGCGCGTGTATAGTCAATACTCAAAGTTGTCGACACCTCAGTTAACGCCCACTTCAAACAGAGCACGCGAGCAAAGCAACTCCTCTTCTTTCCTGCGTTGAATGTTCGAGAAAATTTTCTTTCCGCCGTTGGATGTTTGCAAAATTTTTTTGAAGATTAGGAATTTGAGACATTTGATATTAGGGATATTAGGCATCTATTTTTAGAATGCCTAATGTACACAAGCCTGCAAATGGCTAATCTTGTAAATCTATGTATTCTAACATAAAGCTTGATCTCCCCAAAAAATTATTATTATTATTATTTAAAGATAATCAGGTTAAATTGTTCTTTTATTTTATCAAAAGTATTTTTTGGATTGATCCATTTGTTTAAATTTCTTGTAAATCTGATTATTTATGCATTATATTCATGTAATAGTATCAACAAATGAATGTGTGTATAAAAAAATGTGTTATTTTCATATTAAATATTTCAAATTAATAATATTATAAAAAAATTCTACATTTATTTAAAATTTTATATTGCTTTTAACAACACGTAAAAATCAATAGGGAAGTTAAGTCTCAGGATATACCTATCTTTAGTTAATTTTATAACTTTTCCTTAATAATTAATTTTGAAATTGTGTGAGAATATTTTTAAGTAGTCACTAGGTTTTTAAGATTAAAATAATCTCTACACATAAGTATCATATCTACAATCAATATGATAATTTGAATATTATTTGATAAATCAATGAAATCTATCTCATTTTTTGAGGATTAAAATTTTAAGAAATAAAATATTTTAATATTCAAGTTTATTTTGAATAAATGTTAAAGATTTAGAAAAATCTAGAAAAATAAATAAATTTTAAAAAATACGAAAAACTGAAGAAAATTCTCTATTATGTTTGATAAACTTTCATTCGGAAATTTTATTTATTCTCATTAATTATTAACATCTACATTGAAGTAATTGAAATAATCTAATTTGGTTTTATCAAGTTTGCATTTTTTAACTTTTGGATAGATTATAGTATCTTGTAAAAAATAAAACAAGATAATAATATTTATAATAATATTTTAATGATTCATAATCTATAATAATATCATGTAAAATTTACAACGTTATTTTTATTCATAAACAGATTTTTTTGATAATCATATGAAAATGCGTCATTAAATTTCTAAGGTAAAATGTCCTAGCAGAATTAATAATCTTATTTTAATCTTCAATAGCAGTTCAGATTATTAAACAATTATTGACAATTTACTATTCAACCTCAAGTATTCTCATATAGAAATCTATGAATCAAAAAATCTAATTTTCACATGAAATTATACATAAATTCAATTCACAATAAGCACTACATAAATTTTTCATAAATGATGCAAATCTTAAATAAGATGAAATATTTGATTAGATAAGAAAAACTGATGTACATTTACTTAGATTTTACAACATCTAAGTAAATGTCTGTAAATTAATCTGAAAGTAAAATATATATAGATTTGTAAATTGAATTTAAAAAAAGTTTTTTAGTCTGCAGAAATCTTCATTATTTTGATGCAGGTTAAAGATTGAAAATATAATCTTATCATCACAATTCAGAATCTTTTAAAAGATTACATAGAATAGGGTAATCGAATTCACTATAAGCATGCGGATAAGCAAATGTCATATAATTTTCTAACAAAAACAATTATTGTTGACATGACGTAAAAAATTCATTTGAAATCAATTCATTTAAATCAAATTCAAAAATATTCAATTTTTTGAAGTGTTCATAAAATGATCATAACTATACAACTCACAGTTCAAACTTGAAAAATATCTAAATAATACATATTATTAATCTAAATTTATATTTAGTTACACTTCACTATTATTACATTTGTTCCTTATAAAATATGAAGCTTATTTATATAAAAACTTGTTTATATATACTAGACATTTTAATAAAGCAAATGGAATAATGTAAAGATTTTTTTGAATATACTAATAATTTGTAATCTCCATTTTTTGATATTTTTCTCTTAGATTTAATATATTTTGATACATTAAAATTTCTTTAAAAAATTTTTCTTAAATTATTTTGCAGAAAAATATTTTCAAATTTTTAATCTTAATATCCAAAAAACAGAAAGCAAATGGAAAATTATAAGTTTGATTTCCTTGCTTTTTTGCCTAAGAGTTAAATTAATGATTCAATATTTTCATAAATACCAAATTTCTTCATATCCAACATTTACACAAAAAATTCAATCAATTGTTTTTGGATGTGAAAGTATTTGAATATAACACATATATAAGATGTACGATGGAATGCACCATGGAAGGCGTGAATATGTTAGAAAGATATGTTATAATTATAGATGTTTTGTTTGTGAGAGATGAATCGATGATAGGAACCATTCAAGCGATCACGTGAGGGATGCAGTTCCACAGAAATATGGCATGATAAGATGAAGCAAGATGGACAATATGTATATACATATTGAAGGTAGCTAGATTACAATATGTAGATTAGTATGTCCATAATAGCATTCTCTATGATTAGTCTTCTAGAGGAGATTATCTTATCTCTATTCCGATTACACCTATCTATCGGCTGAAAAAAAAACTTTAGAATTTTGTAAATTTGTCCAAAAGCTCTTATGTCTTGGTGATATATTGATGTTCACCTAATCCATATGCATAATTCAATGTCCACACTCAGGATGCATGCAGTTTATGGTTATGAGATTATTATCATACATTTTTTTCCATCTACTTGGTTGTGTTTCTACTACCTCGCATGAAATCGAAGCTAAAAAGTTAACAGACTGAAAATTATGAGAAAACATGTAACTAGTACTTGTTTGTGGCCTGCCATTATATTAAACTGCGATCTTTGGAATCTCAGATAAAACGCGTAAGCTCTATTATTAAACCATCCGAAATAGGGTACACGCACGATCTTCACAGCAGGCATAACCGGTTTAAGGACAAATCTTTCAGTTTCATTTTTCGTATGCAGACTAGACTGTCCGTTGTAGGCCGTTTTCAAGCCAACCACAACATTACTGTCCAATTGACAGTGTATACGGTGGGCACCGATCTTGTACTGTACAGTACGGAACTATACCGTACCAATTTTTCGCCGTAAGTACGGTACAAACTGTAGGCCGGTTCATTTAGCTTCTCGACAGTCACGTCAACCCGGATCCGGGTCAGATACTGCAGTTATCTGGTAATACGGCAAGTCGCGTGTTTCCCGATGAGACTATCTCTTCTCCACTGGACGGTCGTACCTCGACATCGGTTCGGGTATTGACTTCACGCAATGACGGCGCCCTGTCTTCGGAAAGCAACGCGCGGCAGCCGCAGTTGAAAGAATCCAAAGCCAACTGCAGTCAAGAAGCAAAGGAAGCGCGGTTCCAGGTGCCGCTTCGTACTCAGGTCACATGCTTACGAGCCTGTAGATGGTCGGCACGTGTTGCACGCAGGCAAATTTAGATGCCATAGCTTCGAGCTTAGACCGGATATTAGTGGAAGCCGCAACCGCCGGAGCTTCGGCCTCGCCGCATGGAGAATCCGGCAGTGTGCAGGCCTAATGATGTTCGTTTGCAGTCAAAGCCTGAAAAAGGAGGAGACTGCCCTCGAATAGCCTCAACGACTCGGAAGCCAATGATGGGATGCCAGGTGGCAGGGCTTGAGTAGTTGGCACCGACGAGTTTGCAAACTCATGCTGCGCTCGTCGATTTGTCGATTCCTAATTACGGCGTTTGTCCCGTCCATATTCGCCCGCGATGGAGATCAGCATGAGATCGGGGGGCTTAATTTAACAAGCATTCTTCTGTCAGTCATCAGTGAACCACTGCGATCTTGATTTAGGGCACTTTGTTATCGCCTCTGACCGGGAAATGTAAGAACATGTTTCTTGATGACAGTCGATGGGTCGGTTGTTTTCACTAATTGGGTGGCGAAGCTTGATGGCCTGGTCGTGTATGCGCTCGGCCTGAAGAAGTTCGATATTCGAGTTTGGTGGCGGTGGCTGGAATGACGCTGTGTTCTAAGCTGCCGCGATTGGAGTGCTCAATGTCGTCGGGAGCTGTCATATAGAAAGAGGATCTTGGGTGTCGCAGTTCGTCTTGTTCGTAGCGAAGGTGTTTCCGGTTCCGGTTTCGGTTCTTTTTGCCCGGTGGAAGACCAAATCTGTCGTTGTGCAAGTAGTGGCGTGGGAGTTCTGTGACATAATCGGCAGTTAATCGTTTACATAATCACTGATTGCTTCGCTTTGGCGGAAACAACCCCGAGGGATTGCCGCCGACCTTTGTCTCAGGCGCTACCGGTGACAGGGAACGAAGGGGCGTAAAACGAATCTTGAAAGCGAGAAGACATTCCATCACCAGGGTGACACTGCTGGTTGATGTGGCGAGGATCGGACTAATGATGTGAAGTTCGTTGCCCGTGGTCATGAGGATACGAAACTCATGACAGCCGGGGAGGAGCGTGTCAGGAGGATGTTAGTTCTTAACCTATTGCTGGAATTCGTGAACAGCTGTGCTCTCTTTGAGCTTCGGTAAGAAAGTAAAGAAAAAGATACGGAGACAATGCCTAAAATTTTGAACCCTAAACTCTTACCTGGTAACTCACCGCAATTTGTCTTAGCTCTTCAGTCGCCTTTGTATCAAGCGGCCCACGGGGGGAAGGAAATCAAGCTTTCTTCTACTAGGTCCCGAGGCAAAAATGTTGGTATTCGATTTAGAAGTGGCAATGCCGAACATGCGAGAGACATATATGGTGTTAATAGACCAAATGGTCCGGTGCGAGGCATGCGAGGCGTGCTCGTGAACAGAGAGCACACAAGGAATCAGGTACGGAACAATGTGGATTCTGATTGGGTCAATGTCTCGATATCAATAGATTCTCCCGATGCTCATCGAATGCAGGATGTTCCAATCGAGGTCCGGGAAGTGCCTATTCTGTCCCTGCCGGCGTCATTGATGGAGGTGAAGCAAGAAATCCAGGACGAGGAAGGTTTCTACGTGGAACCACCAAGGAAGCGCACAAGGACGCATGAAGTCGACGCGGGAATGGATGAGGAGGAAGAACTGGAGGAACAACCTTCACCCCCGGAATCACGGTTTAAGAAAGCAAGGGTCCAGCATGATCCCAGACCTCAGCACCCAGAAGCGCTTATCTCTGAACAACTTAGGGAAGCCGTCGAAAAAGCTCAAACATATGCTGAGCCTAAAGGTACCGAAGATTGTGCAACTCGGTCTCGCAATGAACGACATGTTCGATTTCTTAATTGCATAACCTTAGTGCTGCAGGAGAGCTCTGGGTTCTTGAAAAGAAGTTCCGAGTCCGGCTGTTTCCAGCCTTCATACGATGAGCTTAGAAATTTCCAATGCAATGCGAGGCGTCTACTCGACGAAGTCGAGCAAGGAATCCACTTGTTTCGCATCAAGGAGATCGAGAGAATAGAGGCTGAGAAGGCTAGGACTGAAAGTGTTGTAGTTGCTGAACGTAGCAAGCTCTTGGCCAGAATTGAGGGTCTCAGACAAGAGAACTCAAATATAAGGGCTGAGTGCACCAAACTGGAATTAGAAGTAGACCGCCTTTTTCACGAGAAGGCTGAATTCGAGAAAGAGCGTGTGGAGGCTGAGGCAGATAAGGAAAAGCACGCAAAGGAGAGAACAAGAGAGCTGGCCAAGAAACACGAGGAGGAGGTTTTTGCACTAGGGAGGGAGGTTGTGGCGTTACAGGGCAAAGGGATCTGCCAAATGTGCTACCTGAATCCAAGAGATGGTTTAGTCCTTCCTTGTCTGCATTTGCTTTACTGCTATCAGTGCTTGGAAGCTCACAAATTGCAGAGCAAGGCTTGTCCATGGCCGAGTTGTAGAAGCAGGATCAGTGCACTACTGTTATGTGACTTGACTGGCGAGAATAGCACTCTATAGAGTTCGCTGGACAATGTAAATTTGTACAGGTTCAGATGCCGTAAGCAAACAACAATACTGTTTTGTGAAACGAACTCTCTGAGTGGCCACCATGTTTGCACTTTCTCAAGCTTTTAGCTCTGTACCGAAGATGGTAGTACTTCGCTCTGTAGGTCGGAAATGCTCGTTGGAAACGAATCAATAGAGTCGAGGAACTTGGCAGTGCTGTGAAATTGGACATCGACATCGACTTCTGACATCGATTCACCACGCGGCAGGTCTGAGCAGTAGAATAGTTTGGTAATGTGAGGTGGCATAGTATTTTGGTCCTTTGGGGCTAATTGATCAATTGTCGACCCCATAGTGCGAGCTCAGGAAGGTCATTTTATATGACTGATTCTTTCCACTCTCATCAAACGAAACAATATGTAGGACGTTAATAGAAATAGATAATATAATAACCTAAATAGAAGAAATCAGTCATAGCAAGACTTCATCTAAAAGGTATGTACAGAATGTAAAACTGAGGTCAAAATGGTGTCCACCCTCTAGCAATTGCGCAAAGATATTTTACCTGGTCAATGTAAGGATTTTGTCTTTGTTTCTCGGGAGGAATTATTTAGACTTCCGTCTGTAGTTCTGCTCCTATGAATAATTTAGGCATTAGGGTGAAAATTCTTCAGTATTTTGGTATACTCAACACAGCTCGTGGCAGGCGAAAGCCAAGTGAAAGTACCAGCCATTTCTGCCGAAATCCCGGGAAGTAAAAGTATATCCGGAAAAGCAGCCTGAGCATTAGGAGATGATTATCTGTGACGATTTAACACTGTCCGTTTAAATTACAAGTACTTCCCAAATATCACTCCTTGCGGGTAAGACTACAATTTCTGTTCAGTGAGTCTACACTTACAACCAGGGAACAAGTGAGTAAGATCTGAGAATCAATCACAACGCATTACCCTTGCTCAGTCTTTCAGTGATAAAATTAACGTACAACATGAAACTGCATTTACCTGTCAAGCTTAGAACAACATCTCTACTGTGGGAGATATCAAACTGCATTACGTATTGACATTTGGTGTTAGGCCATATTGCCATCTGTCGTTTCACATTAATCAGAGGAACGAATCTGTAACCCAGTAATCACAAACCTTTCAGGAATTAGTCATTGTCGGATCCAGATTAAACTAAAACCCACTCGATTAAATTACACACGTAACATGCATTCTTCTTGTTACGCTCTCCGCAGTACGCGGAGAAAGCTTCCAACTTCGACGACTCCAACTCGCGCAAGGTGCACAACTCCAGCCAGGTCTTTAAAATCTGGTTGATAGACAAAGTTGTCTCTACCGCGGGAAACGGGCACCTCGAATCGCGTAAAAGCAGTATGTCCAGAAAACAGTTAAGACAAGTCCTCCACTTCCGTATTAAAATGGCTACTTACTAAAAAGTTTACACAATGAATCGCGCAAGGTGCACAACTCCAGCCAGGTCTTTAAAATCTGGTTGATAGACCAAGTTGTCTCTACCGCGGGAAGCGGGCACCTCGAATCGCGTAAAAGCAATATGTCCAGAAAATAGTCAAGACAAGTCCTCCACTTCCGTATTAGAATGGCTACTTACTAAAAATTACACAATGAAAAGGAAGTTGTGACGTTGAAGATTCGTAATTTCTTCAGCAATCATTCGGATCAATCCTTCTCCTTGTGGAGCAGGCATCCAAAACGGTGACACATGCGTTCATGACAAGTGCCATTTGCATTGAATTTCTCAATATTTAAAAAACACAATGTACAGACCTGCAGCTACATTATTTTCTTCAATTAAAAGACGAATTCCCAAGTTGAATTGCATGCGTTGGCTGAAGAAAGCCAATTTTCCTCGCGGCTAGCTCTACTTCCAACTATAAAGATGCCAAGGTTCTACGCAGCCCAGATAAAGGGCAGTGCAATTAATTCCCTTCACTACATATTTCTATACTATTGCGTTGGCGGCGCTAGCTATCCTGGGCCATAAATCTGCGCATTCCTTTCCAATAGGTCCAGTGATGGCAGATCCTGCAAGCAACAAAAACAGTGGGAAACGATAATAATTGGAATAAACCGAACATTGATTTGTGAGAAACTTCGACATAAACAGAGACGCTGACAGAAAACAAATATAAGCGAGTAACCTGTGAGCATATTATACCTTTCATCTCTCCCTTGGGATTAACAATTACTCCGGCGTTGTCTGCAAAATCAACAGGATCGATCCATCAGCAACAGTGCGTTACATAGCTTCTCTTCATCGCAGATATCAGCAAGTGCGGTCACAAATAATTGTACATGATCATCACCGCACACCTTCAAAGTACATGAAAACTCCATCTTTGCGGCGCCACGGCTTGCGCTGGCGAACAATCACGGCAGGCATGACCTTCTTCCTCAGGTCTGGTTTTCCCTTTTTCACAGTGGCCATGACCATATCACCCACAGCAGCAGCAGGAAGCCTGTTGAGGCGACCCTTCACTCCCTTTACGGAGATGACATACAAGTTCTTGGCTCCCGTGTTGTCGGCACAATTGACCACAGCGCCAACAGGTAGACCCAATGACATGCGAAATTTATTCCCCGACGCCCCTCCACGACCTGATGATCAGAGCATGCATGAGACTCACAGACAGAAATCTAAAAATCACATTTCGGCTGCCGAATCTTACAAATCTTCCAAACGCGCGAAAACGTAGATACAACTTGACTTCCTCTGAAAGGAAGATCAATGGGTCATTAGATTACGGCTACAAGATCGATTACAACCCTGCACATTCAAGACAAACATCACACCGACTAAATCCACACCTCGTTTCGACATCTTGCCACTCCTTCGATACCACTTCGGTACGACTGCGCCTAAGCTTCCGATCGAAGACGAGCCGCAAACATTCTCGATCGAGCGCGAGGCGTGACTAACTTAATGCTCCAATCTCGGCCTTCCGCCCTATCGCGGGTCGGGTGAAGTGGCCCAGGTTACCAGTGAACCCGACCCGGGTGTGAAACAGTTTGGGGGTTCTCGAGCCCTCTCCGGATGACGGGGTACGTAGTTGCCTGTTGTGGCCCTTCTCTTTAGTAACGTGGTTGTGATTCTCGTATGAGCAGTGAGTACTGCAGTAGACGAGCTCGAAGAACTAGGCAATGAAACCGTATCGTCCGGACAAGTCCGTCAGGTTCGACTCTCGACTCTCGTGATAGGGTTTCTGCGCTACTGCTGACATCTAGGTGATATTTCTCGAATTCGTCTGAATGGAGGAAAATTGAGAATGGAAGAGGTTTTTGATGTGAGTTTGCCCATCCCTGCGTGACTTTGCGTAATGAGAATCAGTATTTTGCAATTTGTGTTGTTGAGATCGGTGTACAGAATTTGAGCTGCTTCAGGGACGTCTTTAATGATTTGAACCGGCGATGTTCCTGATCTGTTCCTCGTCACCTGATTGTTTCTTTTACAGGAGATCGAGATGAATTTTTATTTCGTCTTGGAGAATCTTCTGAAGTGCCAGCAATTTTGATTGTTCTGATATCTGGAGCTGGAGATTTAGCAATTAAATTGAGAGTGTTCTGTCAAAAAAATTGAGATGGCGGTCAGGGGAGTGTGGCAGCTCAAGAAACTGGTTCTGTATTTCTGTGATCATTCTGGTAGCAGTCGCGGAGCAAGGTATGCTCGATCTTCTGCTTTTGGTGAGCAAGTAGCTGAAATCTGCAGTTTTCAGCAATCACAAATTTTCTCCAGGTGGACGCTTGTCATGGTAGCAAGATGACACCGTGCCCTTTCGGTCCTCTGACTCAATTGTGCGCACAGAGAATTTGTGGAGTCCATCTTGCCGAAGTTCAAGCTCGAAAACCCCCAGTTGGAAGTCTTAACTGAGCTTCATCGCGGCAGACATCCTCATCTGAAAGGACATTTCGGTAAGCTGTTGAATTTCAGCTATGTTAGTCATTCTTTTCCACTATCGTTTGAATCCTTGTCATAGTTTATTCCTTCAGAGGCAGAATGTTTTTGAGTTCTATGTTGACACGAGTTATATTATCATTAATGCAGCGAACAAGAATGAGAGAGTGGTGGATGTGAAGAATCTCGATTCTCAGGAGGTGGCCTTGCAGGCAATGCGCCTTCGCAATTCTACAGGGCGGAAAGTTGTAAAGCTCAAAACGAGGCACGTGACCTTCCGCCCTAGCGTGCAAGGCACCTGGACACCAGATATTAAGTTTTGAATTACGCTTTTGTAAGCCTTTGCATATCCTAGGCACAACCCCGACAGGTAGGGCATTCTTATGCATCTAAAGGGGTTGTGTGGTTGCGCTGAATCCTCACCGTGGTGTCGGATGAGCGGGGTTTGGTTGGTCAAAAGACCATCGTACAGGAGCACAACTGGAGTTTCCGTCTAGCTCATAGACATTTTATTTTCTCTGTTATTAATGGATCTTTAGCTAATCATGGAGAATCGATTTCGCAACATGAAAGCTCATCACTCACTCTTCGTGAAAGGTCTTTCTTTTTGTCGGGTTTATATCTTGCACCCGTCCAAGTCTTGCCTCTTGCCTCACAAGCATCTTCAACAAAGTAACAATCTCTTGTATGCGGTTCCTAACGCACGTTGAAAACTGGATAGCAGTCAGAATGACTCTTGTTATACGATTCCTGTGACAAAGTAACTTTCGCGTGTCGCAGAGGTTGTAACTATCTCGATCAGTCTTGTGTATTAAATTAACTCGTAGCATGTTGACTTGCTGTTCGTGCTTCTATATGAACCTCACCACTCAAATCGCGTGTACTGATCTAGTAACCCAGTCGGTCACAAGGATTGACATTTGGTTGCAGTCATGGGAGGACATAATTAAGCAGGGGACGATGCACATGGTTGACAAACCCACAGGTTTGTTTTGTGGCTTCATTTTTTAAGTGCAGGACTGCACATTTGAAATATAAAACCACCCACAAACTTATCTAAAACAAACTATTTCGTAGTACCAAAGATGGTTTATTGGTTTCTGCACCTTAACACAGGAGGTACCAGTTGCTGAAAGAAGTCTACATGTATTCGATTTCTTGTTGAATTCTGTCCCTTTTAATACTTAGAAAGTCTTCAATGTATCCTGAATGGGAAAGATGCTGTGCGTAAGTTATATATCATCACATCATGCCCCCGGGTATTGATAGCCAGTTTTTGGGTCCAGGTGCCTTGCTCTGTGGTCGATGTGAATGCGTTGCAAAGTCTGCTGTACGACCACGATAGAAATGACAAATTGACTTCTTAGTAACTACTGTATCGTGTATGTTCTCTCCTCGCACCAACGAATGCCTCCCTATGATTTTCCCTCTTTACTAAATTTGCTGACTACCTATATGCTGACAATGCTCGTCACCATAGCTAACAGAAAACCAACACAGTAGAACAATTCTACGAGAGGTTAAAGAAAGAAAACATCGAAAGAAATTCTAGACTCCAGACTACAGTGTCAGTATAACTAAAGTGACAAAATTACGCAGCGTTCCTGAAGGGTTTCACTGTATTTCCACAGACAAACATCTTTTGATTCTGGTAGTGGCAACTGGTTGTCTTCGTTACACCAAGTGTCAGTTGACCTGGTCCTTCTTAAACTGTCACATGTAATTTCCTGCAAAGCGCGCCAAACGTCATTATTTTGGAACTCGACACCAACGTCACTTGAAAAGGTTCGAATCTCACACCACGGACATACGTTGATACTTCGTGCGCATCAACTATTGTGAACTTTTGATCTGTTCAGATGAAAGGATAGACGACAGCAATAATCTGTCAACACACGCTCACGTCGTTCAGATATGCAGTCGATACTGGTCAGTATCTCACTTTTGCGTTTTCTTGTACTTCCACCAATTCTCTTGGTACCGAACTTAGCCAACATACCTCGGAATCACCGTGAGCGCTGACAAGGTTCTGTAAATCCTGGAGTGGGATTTGGTAGTTGCGTAGATGATAACAAATTCCGCTGTCGTACAGTACAGATTTGTCACTCAAATAGCATACTTAGAACAGCGTGCAAAGTATGCGATTGGTCACTTAATCTTGTGGAGTCTTGGTAGAGGTTATTTTACCATAAAGTGCTTGAAGCTTCTCACTAAGCGCTTTGGGCAATTCCTAGCCTGTAGATTCCCTTGGATTATCAGGCCTTACGTGCGATGCGAGGTCCTGATATTGTAAGCGTATCTAGTAATCTAGCTTTGCATCGCGCTTGAGTAGGCATTGCAAAGTTAGATGAATTCAGTGATGCGAAGTTAGAATGAATTGTAAGAATAATTGATATAAAATGCTGCAATCTTCCGGAAATGTAGAAAACAACACGCATAAAGAATATATGTCAGGTGGTTGATGAAAACCGATGGAAATGCTCTATAAACCTCTACAATGATGAAACCAAATTTATGTATAACAATGTGGAATATGTTCTTTATAACACTGTATATCTAAAATATAGAAGTAAAATAATTTATAGATGCAAGTAATATAATTTTATATAAGATCAAAATCATTTAGTTCAAAACATGAAATAACTTCAAAATAGATGATTCAATTTACTAAAAAAAAATATCATTTGTTTTAACATAAAAAATTTCGTTACAAATTCAAAGGAAATCTTCAAGTTGAAATATCGAAATGCCTGATTCTTCAGACGTGATTATTCGCCACCCACTCCTCTGAATCTATTTTTGTTGATCCCGTGGACTTCGTATAAACCGTAAGAATACAGGAAGATAAATAAATATTCAGTGCTTGTTCATTTCTATAACAAGCACTGGACTGGGTGTTCACAAGTAAACTTTTGGAGATTGAGCAAGCCTTTTGTGCGGGCATGTGGAATGCAACCCCGGCCTTATATAGAGTGAAACCGAAATTTGTCACTCGGGGACCTATTTATTTTCTTCTCTAGCTTGCCGATGAGTATGAGCTGAACACCAAGTGCAGGAAAAGGATCTTAATCAAAATTCTGCAAACTTTAAACTTTCGGTAGCTAACCTAATTTCTCATTGGACTTCTATGTTATGGTCCCACAATAGTCGTCCGGATGATGGAACCGGTTAAACACAACTATATCAAAACTACAACTCAAATTACTGTTCAAGTGATTCGAAGCAACTGAATCAAACAGCAGACCATGCTAAATAGTTCGTGTGTAAGACACACGAACTATTTAGCTCCTTCGTCACATGTCCAGAAAGCTGCACCTGTATGTGCCCGAAGCACATGCTAAAATTCAGATGAGTGCAGTCGTGACTGAAAGATACGGTTCGAGTTTAAGAAAATTCAACTTCAAAACTTCACTTTCTTTCTCGCATGTTGTTTCTCATCTAAAGTGAATTTCAACTCCTCTTTCTTTATTTCTTATCCGGGTAAAAATCCGTGACTAAAAATTGAGTACGCAATGTTCAAACTCCTATTGTGATACCCATCTATAAACCCATGCACGTAGCAAGGAAGGAGTTCACAAGTCTGATACAGGATACTTGGATCAAGACGCGAAGCATTACTTACCTGGGCGGGGTACATCGCTGATCCAGAAGGGCGATGGCCTAGGTCTAGCCGACCCATTGCACCAAGGCTTGGCAAATCCTAGCACTTCCTGTATGGGAATGTGCACGTCACAATTTGTTGTAGAGGGGCTCGCGTCCGCGCGGCCCCTTCACCAAGTAAACCGAATAGCAATTATTTCCACACTAGTGACACTTCAATTATCAAGGTGTGACGATTCTGCCGAAAACTGTGGTTCAATCTGATTAACTCGGTCTGCTGTGATTCTGCGGGCTGCCGCAATCCAGTAGTCTGTACCGTGCACAGAACGCAGTTTAAGTGAAAATTCTGGATTGCGAATTTCTTCCATGTTCCGTAAGATTGCTGTTGGTCAAAAAGATGTGCAGCATCAGTAAGTTTGCAGCCATAGCCTCTTCTTCTCTCTAGCTGTCGGTCGCTGTGAATGCTGCCATATTCTGCGGTAAGAAGCTGTACTTTGACGTGTTTTGAGTGTGTAGCCCTTGTTTTATTCTCAGGACTTAATCTTGCAGTTATGTTCGAATGATGAAATCACTGGAACCCAAGTGGCTCTTCGAAACATCCCGTGCTTCTTTAGTGCTCTGCAGTTCATGACGTGAGCATTCGCAGACTTGATACTGCGCTGTAGCAGTGAACGGTACATTATCTTGATGCTCCGAGTTGTCGATGTCTGTATGCCAGTACAAACTTCAAATCTACGCCAACTAGGCAGAAGCGATTGCTCATTCTGTCTCTATTTTAATCCATAAGAGCGATTAGCCTTCTCCAATTTCCCATTGCTTTTTGGTGGGGACTTTCGAGGCCTTCTCATGACTTAGCTTTGTACGTCTTCGTGATTTGGGTCATCCTTTTACCACTTTCATCTTTCTCGACACCAACTAAAAAACCTGCCCGCTTCCTTTTCACCGACATACATGTACCACACTAGTCTGCAATATCGGAGTTCTAATAATATTGCAGAAGCCATTCCAACCCCACCTCTCAAATTTCATGCATCGTCTGCGTGTAGAACAGAAAACAATGTCAGGATTCCTCCGGAATGAGAACTGAAGTAGAGATAACAGATAATAGAGATCATTCCTTCAGGACATTGAAGATCTCTTGCTATAGGAGAAGAGCATCTGCTCGAGCCTAGGGAGAAGCACCCAATAAGAAACTTATCATAGATTGAGATCTCTCAACGGTTTAAGTCGGACTATAACTAAAGACATCGGATTATAGTCGGACAGGTGAAAAAAAAAGCTTTTTCTAAACGCATTGCTGCAACCGGGAAAGGACTCCTTTTCAACTCTCAACTTCCAGAACTCCCTAGCGAGATTTGAGTCCTCTGTGAGGTATGCTCTGCGTGAGTTATCGAGTATGGATAAGTTCGAAGGTTCTGAGCTCACTTGAACTCTGTGCATAGATTTCCATGATATATCGGCTTGCTATGTGAAAAGACATTTTGCATCCAAGCATGATATCCTTCTCCACCGATCAAATCTCTTAGTAGGCTGAGACGTACATATTGGGTTATAACAATCTGCCTCCCGAATCTTTACTAATGATGTTCGTGGCAATGGTATTAGCTGAGTTTGCTCTTGAATGCTGAAAAATCACATTCATTTATTGCTCACATTGAGCTTTACATAGTCGAGGGGGTAATTTTTTTGGAAACTTCCCGCTTCAAATTGATGGTGAGTGCAAAATCATTTCTGGAAATAAATTCAGAGTCATGAAGAAACGATTGCATCATCCGGATTCCAACCTCCAACCGGTGCAACCGATCTAGTTACAGCCAATCAAAGCTAGCCAATGAGACACTGAGGTACATATTCCTCAAGTTACCACCAAATGGATGGTGATTTGAGGAGGCTCATCGGTTTTGGATGTTCTCCATGTGTTTACACGGTAAACGATGATTTCTGGACCGGGCCAAATGAGCTCATCGTCCATGAGGAATAACGACAAGTGCCAAGCAGGGGCATGTGGATCCCCATGACAAGAGAAACCGCCAGTTCGAAAGAATGGTTGTTCATTCTAGCCGCATTTGTTCGGCGTGCGATCCATACCTTACAGTGGAAGGAACATCGTTCCCCAGAATCGTCACGATTGTCAAATCTCTGCCCGCACAAGAAGAAAGTCGCTCAGATGAGCACAATTTTCCATTGTAATCCAAAGAACGTGTAGAAGCGGCTGCAATTTGCTCGAGAGGAACAAGAGGGAGTCACCCTTGAAACATATAAATTTACAAAATTGAATCTGGCGCAGGATGCAGGCTTCCGCTGCTGGCTGAAATCTTCTTTTGCTGCATCATGCCTCTCCCTCTCTCTCCCTCGCAGGTCGTCTACATTCGAGTACAACGGAGACACTTTCTCTGAGGTCGGAACTTATTTTCTAGTGAGATGAAGAGCAGCCTTCAGATTCAGCTTGTCACACCGCTCTTGGATAATCGGCAGACTCGAGCGTCCTTCCAAACAAGGCCGGGACGGCAGAAGTAACCAGCCTCGGGGGCGCAGTGACTGTCGTCCGTGCAAATGCACAGGCCCTCGAGAGCGCAGTGCGGGCCGAAAGTCTGAAGACGGGCGGCGGCGCCTCCCACATTCAGCACCATGTCGGTCCACTCGTTGGAGAACAGGCCTTGCGGGTCGAGTCGGTCTTTGACTTGGAGAAATTTGGGCAGGTCCGGGTACAAGGTTGCCGAGTTGACGAAAGCCACGGGCCGATTCTTGCCCCAGTGAGGCTTGCCGTTGTACTTGAATATCATCATCTGCTCGATTTCCTCCATTGTGTCCTCATAAAGTCGAGGCTTCGTCGCGTCGTAGCTTCTGTAGTATGTGAAGTCCAGATCGACGGAATCTGCGATCTCTCCTAAATAAGCTCCGCTCGATTTCTTCATGTAGCGTATGAGTATGCCGTTGTACAATCCCAGTGTGCAGAGGCTGTCAGGATTGAGGGCCACCAGGGCTTTCACATCCTTGATGAAGGAGCCGATGTCTGCGAACGATACGGAGAACGTAGTCTGGAAAAAGAATTCCCCTTTGGCGCTCGGGTCCCATGCACAGGCAAAGTTTCTGGCAATCGGAATGTTGCACGTGCCGCTGGTTTGGATGGAATTTTGGTAGCCCACGATCGGGTATCCCCTGAAGAGGAAGCCGTTGTTCGTCCAGCCCTCGCCGATCAGGCACAGTATGTTCAGCTGGACTTCGCTCGTTTCGCACTTATGTCTGGCATCACCATCTGCTTCGTCTTCCTCCTCTGTCAAGAGTCGAGACAGCAAATTCAGTATAGGTACCATTTTTGGGAGGGAGTCATAAATATGGAAGCTGTGTGTGGCGTTTCTTACGCTGTCGTCCTCGGGAGAAGCAGTCGTAGACAACTCCTGTTGATAAGAGAATATCTCAGCTCTCTAATTATTAAGAGCTTGACTTGGTGAGATCGATTATATGAGAAATTCAAGGGATGAGATGTATCTTCATTAGTATCTTCTCGTCTAACGCAAGAGGTCAAGACCCGCGGTATGAAAAAATAACTATGAGTAGGCCGAAATCAGCTATTAAATGAAGCGCCAATGAATTCGTTATACGGATTCTTGACATGTCCCTGTGATCCGATCTGAATATAATATTGCGGAAAAAGAGGAGAAATTGGTTCAGCTACTGGATTGTAGAACAAAAGAGAATGACCAAGATTTGATCACTTTGGACCAATGGGAAGGATGAGCGAAAAGTACTTCCATTCGAAATTGCCTTCTGAATCTACATTCGCTTAGAAGCGCTGAGTGAAGTGAAAATGAAGATATGTGAGTGAGTCTAAGCGACATAAGTAATACTGGCCTATATCGATAATCGTATACCGAGTCATCATGGGCCAAGGTAAAAAGGTACACGGCAGCCATGCTTTCTATTTGATATATTGCAATGGACTGATGCTCATGACTGAATATGGGCTCCGTTCCCTCCCAGTTGTGGCTCTAGCACATAGCACTCAAATTGTTCTAAACTGTTGAAAGGACAGAGATAGTTTGAATTACAAGCAATTTGAACTATACAAGCAGAATTAGTTGTAACGACACGAGTATAATAACTAACTGTAGCCCATACATATCGAACTGTGAGTAAGATTAGGAGTAGGCGGAAGAAGTATGATGGAAAATCTCTCACAACTTACAGTTTCTATACTCACTTTCAAGAAAGACTGGTTATGGCAGAAAATCAAGCAAGGCAGTGGTGAAGCGACACGAATGTACCGAGGACTCTTGTCGTTGCTCGTATAATTGCTAACTGATGCTGAAAGCCAGTGAAGTTGTTCGTTCCGAGACCCTTCGTCGAAACAGGTACTCGGTTGTCCTGCCTGTAAATGGCTATCTTCAGTGAAGGAAACCAAGTAATATCGCCGAACTCGTTTTCATTTGCGTTCACTATGATTTGGGTCTCCAGATCAGAATCGGAGGTTCGCACTTTCGAAACCTTTCGCTTAAATTGGGGCTCAAGCTGCAGCGTGACTCTTGATATGACCCCCAGCACGCCTAGAGAAACTTTAGCTGCATTCAGATCCCCATCCGCGACTCCCGAAACTAAATTGATCACCTTCGCATAACCTTCTTCCGCAGAAGCAGGAACAACCATCGTCATCGCTATCACATACTCGTACACACAACTACCTTTGCCCCAGGTCGAGCTGCCATGTGCTCCTGTCCCCAACACGCCTGATATCGATAGACCGTCCCAGTACGGGGAATGAGGGAATGCCAGACCGTAGCTGGAGACATAGTCGAAGATATCCTTGATTAGAACACCGGCATCGACAGTTGCAGTCCGAGCATTTGTATCCACAACGATGTTCTTATTGTAATCCCTAGTGCTGATCAGCAGTCCCGCACCATTACCACCAGGACAAACGAGTTTCGGAATGCTGTGACTGTATTTACTCACCACTCTCATCTTCTGCCCGTTCTTCACCCCCTCTGCAACTGCTGCCAAGAGCTCCTGCTCGGTTGTGGGATACACTGCTTTAGCAGCAGTGCAGTCCCTTCGGTCGGGCCACACACCGTAGGTACTGTAAACCAAGCAGCTGGTGTTGCCTGTGCCAGTGCACGAGACGACGGGGTTGGACTCACCGAGCGAAAACGGATCGCTGTCAAGGATACCAGCTGTAGGCTGTGATGTGATCGGCTCCAAGGGGATCGACTGTCTATTACGATAATACATGAAAACTGCCAGGACTACAATACAGAATATCGACGCCTGTGATTTTATAATTTTCAATAGGAAGTCCATCTTTGAAAGACTCAGCGCAAGATATTATGAGATGAAGGATAGCGACCTTGAGGATTTAACCTCTGAAGAATAGTCTGTAACTACTTATTTCTTGCCGACAAATCTCTTGCTACTCTTGATCCATCCAAACTTCTGTAAAACGCGTGCGATTCAGACATTAATCGAATGAGCCAATTGGACTGCAGATCAAGGAGCTATGAGATGCAGTTGAAAAGAGCTCGCAGATATGTCAGGTCAGGGAGAATCAAGTTCATGGAAGACTTTCTGTGGTGTCCCCTATTAGATGCTTCTGCGTTCGCCTGTGTTTATATGGTACTTCGGTCTTGTGCTCCAGACTGGAATGTACGGCAAGCCAGCTAACCGATCTCTGCGAGTCCACTGATACTGCCGGTCCAGGAGAACAAGTACTGATCTGGCTGACAAAAAAGAAGAACTGTAGTAGATGTATGTGGAAGACTTGAATCATGAAAGATGGTCAAAGTTTGAGAAATTTGCACTGAAGCTCTCGTCTTCGTGCACGAGTCATGTGAATATGCGAGATGACGGATTGCGATGGTTGCGATGGAAGAAATGCTGATTCATAACACATACTTCAATTTTGTCACAGGCTGAAAATGCACTCCTGGATTTCCTTCTATGACGAATTTGTTTTCAATCTTGTGTTATACTTTACGAGAAATCGTTTCAAACATAGCCTATTTTAAAAGAACCCATTTCGTGCCTCGAATGCAAAAAAGATTTGCTGCTACTGTGGTATGATTGGCTGAGAAGGTTCACACATGTTGAAAGCACAACGTCCTACTTGAACAGTTGATGACGGAGTTATCAGATTGCATTCTCACGGCTCCTTTGAAAATCAATAAATGTAAATCCTTAACAGATAAAACTTGAGCTGATTTTAACGTTTGACTTCTTCCCAGTCCTGATTTTGCTTTTCTAGCAACCGAAAGAAAGAGAGAGAGAGAGAATGATGTTAACGAACATGATCGGCTACGCTTTGTCGGCACAATGTTCACTGGTCCTCCTTTAGATTCGATAAAATAGCATACTTTTCAAGATACAGAGCTATATGTGGAGAATCTTCCTCTGCGGAGAATATGTATTATGATTCGGAGACGTAGTTGACAGATCTCCAGGGGTCTTGGAGGGGCAGAAGGTGTTGAGCTATTGGGCTTGCATCAGCAACCACTGCTTGTGAAATTGGAAGTTCCATGGATCTCGCCTCGTGTAGGGAGATCCATATACTCTGAACCCCTCATTCAAATTCAAGTGAGGTTCAGATCAGGAAATGTGGTGGAGGATTTAGGTCCATGGTCCTAGAAGATCAGATCAGACGATGTGTTGGTTGTGTATGGTACTAACAACATTTCTAGTTTTGTCGTTAGATGATAATAAGTAATAGTTGAACTTGCCACCATTCCAATAATACAGTAAGTGCCATACTTAATTGTTTTAAGGTATGTCCAACGTCGATGATTTCCGATATCTTCTTGTTGTATGTTTTGGTCCAATTTTCAAGAAAGATTTATCGATCATTACGAGTGGTGTTGGATTCTGATCCTTACCCAACCCGGGAGGCTGGAAAAGAATTCATATAGAGAGATGACCAATTCATATTCACACATGATGTGTTCGAGTTATGCATCAAAACCATCCATCACCCACATGAAGAGTAAGTAATTCAACCATATCTAGAGCATGATCAGTCTTGTTGAATATGTTACATGGTGCATTGGTGGGCGTGGCTGTTTCATACCGTTTGAATTAAAAAATTCAGTGATAGGAGAAAACGAATCTTGTTACCAAGGCGAAGTCAAATGAATGTGTTAGGTGTGGAGTTGAATACTGGGAGGATACAACCTTGGACTTGCAAAATTGAAACATCAATATGTGCATGGATTCAACACTATTCCTAAACATATGACAATATTAAACATGAAAGAGCTTTCTGTTGAGCTTTCGGAGAAGTTGACATATGCAGTATTTGTAAAGATAAATATAAGATGTCATACATTTTTGTTGCAAAGTATTTCATATAATTGGTCATAATTTGCATCTTACGAGAGACTGATTTCAAGAGTATCCACCAACTTAAAAAGTGAAGAATGAAGTACACTGATTCAAATTCATGTAAAAATCAAGTAGAATATACTCTAAGTCTTGATAGCATTTCAAGAGTTACATGCATCTAATATTTTCATTAGTATGTTGACTTTGAAATCCGCATGATTTCCACTTTCCTTGATAATAGAGTGTAGCTAAGGTCTACTTGGAAGTTTAGTCGTGATTCGAGACATAAGGATCACATAATTCTTTAATAACGATCACAGGAGATTGTCTAGAATGTGATTTCTATGAAATTACATAGTCACCTTTCATCAGATTTGGTTTACTTCTCCATCACAAACCGGTACGTTTTTACGAACTGTATTGGGAATGCGAACACGACAAAACTAAGAGGGTTCACGTTGGTCGAGATCTGACGAAGGAAACTTAGATGATATCTCGGTATCGCTGTCTATTCCCAATGCACATCGTCAGGAATCTTAATGTTAGTCTTACTCTATCGTTGTCTATAGTTCTTTGTGTATGGAGTGGCCATGTGAGCTGTTAAGAAATTGGCGATTGATCGATAGCATATTAATCATGAAACCTATAAGTCTTGGGCCCCATTACTGCTCCCTGAATAGCATGCATGATTACATATAAGTAAACACCCAGTATAATTCCTCTCACAACCACTGTTTCTCTCAAACTATTCACTAGAACAAACTTAGGAAGCGTTAGAGTGCTGGTACGAAGTCTACACTCAATTCGATGACAGTCAATCTTTCTTTTCTTGCATCAGTTCTTACTCCGTCCATCGCTGGTTCCTTTGATTTGGATTAGAACCCATCTTGTCCCTTTCTTCTCTTCAATTTCTGTGCTGGTGGTTTGTTGTGTACTCTATTTTCTGTGATGTGACATGGGTTAGAAAATTGAAAAGCATATGTGTCCCGTTTTTATGATGTACATATCACTGAGACAAAAAAAAAACAAAGGTTATTTTAGGAGTGTTCACGTACCTCCAATTTCAACTACACATGCCTCTAGACGGTAGCTACCTTCTAGAGGAATGCGTGAAAGGATATTATAGACATTAGAATATTCAGAGCATATTTAGCTAACAAGCGTAGACCCTACTGTAAGATAGAAGATTTTAGTTTTCATGGCCTGATCATGATTGCTTTCAAAGGCAGTGATTCAGTCGTCCAGCATGAAGATCATGAGCTTACTCCTTTCCCTAGAAATGTGCACTAATATTTCTGCAGGAAACTACACTGATTTTTCTTCACAGATTCAGTCGAAACCAGTTTCCTCGGAGATTCAAATCGACGCATGTCTTTCTGTCGAAACCTCATAAACTTGGATATCTGCCTAATCAGTCCACGTAACTGAGTAGTCAAACTTAAATAGATGGGCCTCTCGAAACAGGTTACTTGATCAATTCTAGTCTCGCGTATGTCTATGCTGCAGGTCAGTGCACGAACGTGCAGGCATGTCTCAACCTTCACCTCTTTGCAGGATTGGGTCTCAGGAACCGTAGTTTCTGTTAATGTTGTCCGTCTATCAGCTTCAGACTGGGATGTCTTCAAGTTAAGTCTTTTGGCCACCATTCACTCGTCCTCGTAGACTTGCAATCAATTCTACTAAATCTTCAGTCCAGTCACTTATGGGGATATCATTTTATTTCTCTCATCAGTGGTCTCGTCATGAAACCGTTGCTATTACGTAGGTTTCTTCGTACAGAAGACATGTATGGATTCATTCAGCTAACTGAAATAACTTACTAGAATGCATAAAATATTTCTGAATAATAAGTGAAGGTGGCATTCAAACAAAAATGGTTTCATCAATCTATATTTTATTTGGATGATGCAATTTCCATAGTGGAACGAGTTGTGGCAAAGGACCTCGCAAGGAAAGTCCAACAACAAATCAGGTCGAATATATAAGCATCGACACGAACGCTGATGCCACCTGGCACTTACCACGATACCACGAAAGGAGTTGTTCCAATCATGCAAGTCAAGTGCACGAACCAAAATGGAGCGGCTCCGGAAATTTTGCAAGCTGAATGAATCCATAAAACGCGTCTGGAAGACATGGATTTCGAATTTCCATCATCTTCGCAAGACTAACCGCCATCGTCGACGACAGCGGAAATTCATGGTAATTATTTAGTCTGTGTGGCAGAGATGCATGACCTGTCAGAAAATATCACCCGAGAGCCACGGCCTCTGTGGCTTTGGAACATTCTGAAGGGGATACTGTGATTGTATCTGAGAATAAGTCGTTGGAGTGTAAACTGGAGAATGAATTTTCCCCTCTGCAGCTGAATTCTTCCAAAAATAATAATGTAAAGTGAAACTTATTTGCTGCTGCAGTCCAAATACACAATTCTACGAATGTCTGAAGACATTACAATTTCATGCAAAATACTATCACCGTACAGTCACGACATTCTTATCCGATGGCTACCTGGATAAATTGAACGAATCACATAACCAAGTTCAGAACTAAATTCTCGAATACTCAATTTTAGGACCTCCCGTTTAAAAAAATACAAGTCATTAACCTAATACAAATTTTGTCTATGTTTCACCAGGATTTTCTTCACAATATTATGACAAACTGCAGTTGGATCATGACGAAAATCAATGAAACAGAAAACGAAATTTTTATATTCAGTTTTAGAAAATCAAAACAGAAAGGGATTCTAGTTATATCGATGATGACTCTTGCCGCACTTTGTTACTGTCTAAATGTCAATCTGCGTCATGCACGGAGTAAATGTGGATCTTGACATCAAGGAGAACTGAAGGAACTAACGATCTTCTTAATATTTCATATCGAGACTTCTATTTTCGCTCTTTTAAAAATGTATATCTGATTTTTATTTAAATTTATTATAAGTAGATGCGAATATTTTATTCTCCAAATTCACAGACCTGAAGTGAATTTCAAAATAATCCTGAAACCTGTAAAATCTAAAATACCTCTCATCTATACAAAATCTCAAATAGTATTCAAATATCACGAAAAAGTTGAGAAGCTTCAATTAGATTTAAAAAATAATACAAAAGAAAACTTGAGAGCTATTTAGAAACTTTTTTTCATTTGTTCTATTGAAAATTCAACTTAAAACGAAAGTAATCGGCAATTGATTGTTTTGAATTTACCAAGTTTAATTAAAATTGATATGAAAGTTGACAATGAGAAAGATTGCAAGAAAACATTTAAAAAAAGTTCCAGTTTTTTTTTTGGTTTCAGTCAAGAAAATCAATCTAATCTTTGGTGTTAGAAATATTTAAAAGTAAACTCATTGATGCATTAGTAATTCGATATATTCAGATCATGAAAATTGACCTTTCTTCAATATAAAATGAAAAACATTTGACTTGAGCCACTCGTCTATGTTGCAAACATCATAACGTTAGTCCAACTTAGCCATTGCTAGCAAAATCTAATCACCATTCTAATATTCTTGTTTTAGTCAAGTCATTAATAAAATCACATTCGGGACTAGAAACTTTTCGAACATCTTTTCCGTTTTTTGGTTACACTTGGAAAGGGAAAAACAAAATGACTAATATTTTAGGTATTTACTTAACTTTGTAAGGTGCTGGTGAGTCTTAAAAAAACCTAAGAGTGTTTCGATTCCTTTTTCTTTGTTAACTACGGCATTAGAGTTGGAACTTTAGTGACCAATCTGAGTAAGTAGCCAATTTGTTTGAAGAGAGTCTTAAGATTCAAGCCATTGCAGATGAAATAACAAGTAAATGTTTTCCTTTCCATTTTGATTTTTTTAATTCTCGAGCTTATATTGATGGATTTTATTACCTTTTTTTTATTAAGGGTTTAACATTTTTTATGCAAATAGTTCTTTTTTGATCGATGGATTATTGAGGGACTTTTTGAGTAAGTTATCTATTGGTCAATTGAAGATAACTGATTAGAACATCTAAGTTAGCCAAATTTAGAGTGACTTATCCGCAATGTATGAGAAAATTTTCATAACCTAGACACCTTTTAAGATGTGTCTAGATCACATACTGCTATAATGGGCGAACAGCCCAGCCCTTGGAACGTACTACCGCCCCAGGTGGCGAAGAGTCGGCATCGAGGTGCCAAACCTTGCCATAGATGTGAACTTTTTGGGAAGATCTGCCTGTTACCCATAGAGTAACTTTTATCCTTGAGCTACTGCCCTTCCACCCAAATATAATTCATATTTTTATTTAGTTTCAAATTCTCTTTTAAGCTTTCATCGTCTATATGATAGGACAGTAATGGATTCTACATAGAACCATTGGTCTAGGAATCCACTTGTCGAAAGAGAGAAAGTGAAGATTCTCATAAACCATCCAATTTGTTATGTCAACTTGGTTGATCGATCACTAATCCATCATTGTACGCAAGATGGAACATCCACAAGATGACGCAACAAGATCAAAACATCAAGCGGGTTACCGATGCATGGGCCACACATCATGCAAGCAAGAAAGTTATTCTTGGCCCATCAAGCACTCGAGTGATGATTAAAAGACAAGTATGATAGAACGCCAAGTCACTGTTTTAGTGTTACTTTCTTAAGGCAGTCCAATTCCATGAGGCATTTTCTTCGTGGGCAATATTTATCTCTTTCCCGCCAGGAAATTCGACCTTAGATGTGGGAAATCCTGAGTTCCAGAAGACAGTACAAGCTGATAAACAAACATGGGGACAATGTTACAAAGGTGACCTTCTCATCCATTCTATCTATCCATTATCATGAAGTTGGCTTTATCTGTCACTAAGCGGCTACACGAAAATGATAGTCTCTTGATTTAGACTAGCCAGACTAATCAGCACTATCAAGAAGGGGGCAAGATTGGCAACAATGGGGATCAGCTGCATCTGCACTTTATAGCGTATACAATGCGGCCCTCACTCGTCGACTCACTAGAGTCCTCCCCCACACTATGTCACTGACATGCGCCAGAATACGAACTCTGAAGAGAACTCTCCCTCCTAGTCCCGACTCGACCCGTGTGACTTTTCAGATCTCGAATTTTGGATCAACAGGTCTCGTAAGCACAGCCGGAGCTGTGCAAGCACACCTCACCGTTTCTCACCCATCGCAGCTCACTCATCGGCGCAAGACCTATACCCAATATTTAGTACATCTAAACCTTCACAGTTTTTACTGCAGCAAAAGTTCTCTCTAGCATTCGTAGCGAGTAGATGCAACATGCATTAATATCCACTACAGTTAGTACCAAGATCCATGTGCCAACTGCTTATGCTTAACATCACGTGCTGAACAATGTTCTCACTCTCGATTTACACTCATTGTCAAGTGAATTGTAGTCATCGTGCACTCATTGTTTGAGAAAATATTTTAATAGATCGCCTAACAAAGAACAATAAGTGATTCGATCGATTAGAGATAAATAAAATTGGGTTTGAAATTTCTTCCCTTTATTTTCTGAAGTAATCGTTTGGAAGCAATAGTATGTGTTTGGCATGGAGACTATCCCATATTGCCCGGTTTGGTTCATCTGTGTACATCCACATCCTTCTTGCTATCTTAGTTGATATTCCTTTTTGGCTTCTTGTGGGATCATCAATACCATGGATACTCTCTAACATCTGTGATGACTTTTATATTTGGAATGACTCCACAGTGAAATCAGAATCTGAAGATTACACGTATACGGAATACTTGTTTTTGTCCTCCAAGTGGGTCCGATCTGAAGAGGTCGTTCGTGGTTGACAAACGAGTGAGGTAACCTACATCCGCACAAGATGTCAGATAACATGGCAAGTGCAGAATGAAGCTCCACAAACCTGGACAGGAATTTTATTTCTTCGAAATATATACCATACTCCAAGATGGAATAATTTATCCATCCATTTATGCATCTTTCTGCAGCAAATTTGATGAATTGTGTTCTGATTACTTCCTGGTTTCTGACCAAGAAGAACGAAGTTCTAGCACATGTGAGCAGTAACGGTAAAATCCAAGCTTGAACGCAGGAGTTCTCAAGTCAGGGACTGAGAAATTCTACATCGAGCTTTCTTTTTCGTTTTAGGCTCATGTGCTTGCAGCAAGGCATGTCATTATCCCATAATACTTTATTCTTGAACGCAGGAGTTCTCAAGTCAGGGACTGAAAAATTTTACATCGAGCTTTCTTTTTCGTTTTAAGCTCATGTGCTTGCAGCAAGGCATGTCATTATCCCATAATACTTCATTCTTCGACTCGAATCATTTGTATGAAAACTTCAATAGGTGGGGACATTGCTCAGCTAAAATTATGCATAAAACTGAAAGCCTCAAACCTCAAACCAGGATCCTTTGGAATCACTCTTGACCAAGTCCACGAACTTGACTTGAAACATCGGCCAGGATCTGTTTACTGCAATTTTTCAGTTGCATGCATCATACTGCACCTGAGAGTTGGACTCTAAGCCCTCAAAGCATTGCATCCACTCACCATCCAGTGTGCATGTAGTTACTGTGACATCAATTATTCTCCAGTGGCAATACAGTAAAACACCTTCCAAAAGCACATTTTAGGCACATCCATGCGCTACTCACTCGTGAATCTCGATGTGCAGATGCATGGCGTCGCTCACTTCGGTTAAGTGATGGTTTCTCTCGTTCTTCACGGCCTGCGCTTCGTTGCTGTGAGATGTCCAAAGCATTTCAGTCAACTTGCGATGGGTGAGAGTCTCTCGCATGATGTATGTTACCTACCACCGGTAATATAATAGTTAATGTTCAGATTATGCTGACTGAGATTATGACAGAACAAAGAATGTTGCATCTCAAGTAAAAATAGAATCTCGAGGATTTGGTAGTCCATGATGTGCTTTGGATTGTTTTTTTATTTACAAAAGCAAGAGAAAATTTTTCTTTCGAAGTTTGTCCAACCTGTTTTTCTCCTGTCGAGATTGGGCACATGAGATTGTACTCTAATCTACGGTCCGGAATATAATTGGAGCTTCTTTCGTTGTTCTTATATCTGTTGCATGACAGGAAATAGCTCAATGATGCAGTTCATATGTTCGTTGTCTGAACAAGTTTGCCACAACCTTCATTCAAGGTCATGGCAACCAAGCGTATCTTTCGATTTATAATTTCTCTTCTGCGTGTTCCATAGGAATGACCGTTTTGCAGTCATTGATGTATGATCCATGGCGTCCATACCCAGCTTTATCAACGGATCAATGGCAAGTATCCTTACATTTTGAACTAGCTGACAATCAAATGTCTGTCTTTGCAATTGTCGATTGTAGATTGTGCATTCACTCTCGCAGGATATTTCACTTAGATTTTAACAACAACGAATTTGGACTCATTGGTTGAATCCAGATTAAAGGTGCTCGCCGGCAGCTTTTGCGACACACGTGAGATCCTCGAGGATCCAAATACATCTCATTTATGCTGTCAAACATGATGCACCGTCTCACCACGGTGCTCTTGGTGGCGATCTTAGGATCCGGAGTTCAGTTTCTGAATCATGCGACAAGCGGTTTTAATGTGGCCACCGAAGAATTCCCGTTCAAATGCAATGCCAAAGGAAACTTGTGGTGCGCAGGAGACGCAAGCACCACCTCTGAAGGCATATTACACCTCACGCCCAACGAGAGAAACCAGTCCGACGACTTCTACTATAACTCTTTCGGCATGGCCCTGTTTTCTTCGCCAATCCACATGCTCAGTGAAACTGGTCTATGGATGTCCTTCAGCACTCACTTCACCTTCAAGATAGAACCTAAGTACCAAGACTTTCCTGGCGATGGACTGGCCTTCGTGATGCTGAGAGAAAACAGGACAGGATCTCCAGGTGCTGCTTTTGGGGCTTATGGTGGAGATGGGTGGCAGAGAGTTGAGACCATGGCCGTGGAGTTTGATACGTTCCAGAACATGCCCTTCGGAGACCTGGACCGAAATCACGTCGGTGTGGACCTCGAGAACATACGATCCAAAGTTGCAAGAAATGCTCACTATGCGGGGATCGTTCTTGCTGGGAGTGAAGCCATATATGCCTGGATCGACTACCATGCTAAGTACCAATCATTGAATGTAAGAATCAGCCTCGATCACAGGAAACCCAAGGACGCGTTCATCGAGCTCCCCATTAGCCTTTCAAATGTCTTCGGTGACGACGGGACCGTGTACGTAGGATTCTCTGGGTCGAATGGTCTTTGCACCTGCCACAACTTTTATTCAATTTACGATTGGAATTTCCAAGTCTATCCGGACGATGGTGGCATAGTTTTGCTGATAGAGGTCCTTGGAGGCATTCTTACTCTGGTTGTAGTGATTGTAGTGTTGGTGTGTGCTCGTATGAAGAAAAACAGTTACATTTCACTTTCAAGAAAAGAATTTGATCTCAAGAGCAGCTCCGAGCGAGTGTTGGTTGAAATTTGAGACTGGTAGAGAGTGGTTTCAGCATGCCTGTCGAGGAGTTTTACTCGTGGAAATACACTGAATGTTGTGGACAGCAGTTGGAGGTATCAGTTGATGAAGATTGAGCTAATTAGAGTTCCATTCTGGGTAGAACTTTGTGGTTGATCACTATCACAGTGGCCTTTCAGTTTATTGAATTGCAGGCTTAAGAGTTACCTTACGAGAAGCATGAAAAGCAATGAATTATGAAGAGATTCGATTCTCTGCCAAGGTCAACACATTTGTCAGTGGTCAAAATAATTAACGAAGCCAATGTGACTAAGAGTTTGTACAGCATCACAGGTTTTCTTCAATCATGTTGTACTTCACTGGACCCTCGAGAACGAAACCAGTAGACTCTATAAGAATTTGTCTTCACTTTCAGAACTATTCTTCAACTTCAGTTCAAAGCAAGTGTTGTGTGCCGAGCTTCACAAAGAATGCATTAGTTTCGAAAACATCTTGTAAAGAGCGCTCGTGGATTCGCTAACGTTACACCCGGATGTTCTTCTCACGACCATAACTTACTCCGGGATCTAACCTCCGTAATTCTAGTTTACAGGGAGATTGCTGACAGGAGATATCAGTGGTCTCCTGTAGAACGTGTACAGTTCTGAGAATCTAATCAGAATGCTCATTATTAGCTTTCAGATAGATCGACAAATCTGCGATGAAAGATCGGGTTAGATTGAGTTCGCATCTATACATCTACAAGCCAGCTTTTTAAAGCCATATTCTCGTGAACCTAAATGGGTGGCTGGACGGATGGACTGCGCGCCACCTTGAAATCAGGAGACTCCAGCTGGAACTACTCCCACTGCCATGGCGTCGAGAAACGTCCTTATATATTGCTGCCAAATGTTGGCTTTTCTTTCACATGAAAGGCGGTGACACATCTTCATGAGTTGAGCGCAGAGTTGTAGTTGAATAGTTTATGTACAAAATTCTCGGAACGAATTTCTCAAATTAGTTATAAAGTTCTTCCTCCATCATCCAGAACTACAATCAAATCATATCCACCGCTCGACACATATCAATGTAATTTCGAACTTGTTTCATTGCACATATGTATGTTCACTAGACCACCTATTCAAACTTGGAAGTTTAGGAAACACCAGTAGAGAGTAGACAGAATTTGGGGCCGGAAATATTTATTCATTCCTTGTAGTGCTAGACTGTGCTAAGAGATTAAGAGTATGTATATATCGTATTAACTTATAATTTTATTGCTAACGAAAATGTTACTTATATAGATATTAGATAATTATATTATAGCCTGTGTTTCGATTATTTTTAGTCAACTAAAAGCTACTGATATTCTAGTTTTTTTTTTCTGTAATATTTCTTTGGTATGAGATTGAAAACTAACATTATACAAAATAAAAGTTCTCAATGTTTTTGGTTATTGGATATTTGATTGTTACGTATCTAATATGTAAGATGGAATATCCGAGTATCATGGCCGTGCATGTAAAAGTATATATGTATGATAAAGTTTCCAAATTTTGTTTTACCTATAGCTTCTGACTTCCTTTTTAAGCCGTACTTGACAGGTATTCTTTAGCTTACACTTTTTTCACTTTTACACGTTTAGTTTTTTTGGCTAGTCTAGTAATAAACGGGAGTTTGTTTTTTTTTGATTTTTTTTTTGGGTGCATGTAACCATTTTCAAATCCATACAAATATTTACTTCATAATTATCTATAAAAAAAATGAGAGATGTTTTATCACCATTTTTATAACATAAGTTATATTTGCTTTCCTTTAAAATCTATTGACCTTCAGCACCGAATTATACCTTTACTCAGATTGTAACTTAACTTAGAGATTGTAACTTAGCAGACTATAAATTTCACAATACTGAACATTCACTCTTTCTTAATTATCGAGGTATATTTAAGCTCTTGTTGCTAAGGTTTTTTTTGTGTTAATGCTTTAGCAATAGTGCATGTTGATAGATATATGTTTTATTATACTTTAAGTTCTTTCAGACTCATGTGAATCTTTTGATATACAGCAACAAGGTTTCACTTGGGTTGTTCATACATCTTAATTTTTTCTGAATCAATGTGCTTCTTTTGATGTCACTTTTGTTCCTAGAATTTTTATTCCCTTGTTATGTAGATGACAACTAACAAGAATAACATCAATGATGTGATATGTGCCTCATAGCATTTTAGAAGAGAAAAATTCTGGCGATGACATGGAGTGAGTTTATGCCAAGAGGACTTTTCAGCACCGTTGACTTCGGAACATGGACTGTGGATGAATCCGTTCAAGCATACGATGCCTCTGATCTCCCTTCTGGTTCATCCTCTAGACTGTGCTAAAACTACATTCAATAATAACCGATTTAGTCGATGCATCGTGGACATCTTTGACCTGGATGAAGTCCACACTCTCCATACACATACACATTCAGGTGAGGGTTTCCAAGCAATACACATTTATATTCATTTGAGGGTTTCCAAGCAAGGCACGGGGTGAGATTGGCTTTCGTTCTGGGGAGATAAGAATGGCGAGAAATGAGGGATCAAAATTTCTTACGCTTTAAATGTAATACAGTACAATCAGAAGATTTGACTAGAGTCGGTCTAGAAATCGAAGAGTATGAGGGATCCGACAAAGGTCGAGGTGTTGTGAGTTGCGAGTCCAGATTTCTGAGCTCCTTCAGATGGGGCTTGCAGTTGCGCCTCTCGAGGAGTGTTAATATTTACACCAGAAAGCGGGACCTGAACACCTGCGCAGTTGAGGTTGTTTGGATCTAGACTTCTACTGTTACGGCGACTAAGCGCCGTTCGTTGCGCAGCTATATCGTTTTCAGTGTCTGGCAGTGCTGGCCTTGAGCTTCAGGACACAGTACAAGAGTATCGTGAAGCTCCCCCACAGCACTACCATCATTCCGACATTTCTCCACGGATTCACATGGTCCAGGGCAAGTCTGACCAGGATATCTTGTGAGTCCAGATCATCGAACCAAACCAAGCCTGGCAAGTGTGAAAACTCGTTGTACATCAAAGCCTCGTACGGATACTTGAAGGGAGAAAGATAATGCACCCACAGCCAGTACTTTGGAATGGCAGTCCTGTACATTCATGGGCTGACTCAATCAGTGACTTTGTAATCGTCAGTCCACCGACACTTTGTCCCAGACACTAGAGGAGGAATAGAATCTGATAGCTTTTACAGTTGCATAATCATGACGTTGAAAAATATGCACATACCTTTGTATGAAGAATCCAGAAAAGAGGAAAGTGATTGAGAAGAAAGCCTCGAGGAAATTGCCGGCAGGAACCAGAGCTGGAAAGAATCCACCTATGAGTATTACGAAGGAGTGGGCCATCGCCAATGCCACGAAGAAAACCAGTAGGAAGAAGCATATGGCAGAAACGCTGGCCTCGAGTCCCACCATGGCATACGATATCCCTGTGAAAATAATAGCAAAAACGAAGAGGAATGGAAGAATGATTAAACATCCTGACAAAACGTAGGCGGAAGTGTGATAAGCTCCTCGGTCTGTCTCCCTGATGAAGATCTTGCGTTCAGCTAGAAACGGTGGAAGTGCTTGATTGGCGCCAAATAAAAAGAACGCCAACGCAAATGCGAAAAATGATTGGCGTTGACGAACTCCGATCTCGTTGTGCTTGCACCGAATAAATAGGGATCCCATGACGAAAGCTCCCACCGCCTGTCCCCAACAAGAGCAACAACAACGGCGAAGGTATCAGAAGGTGCCACTCGAGGTAGCCTATCTAACCAGCCAAAACCGGACGTCTTCGATGAGGCACCTAATCCGCAGCAGATGTCCTTTCAGAAGTTTGAGTTGGCAAGAGGTTAAGTATTTCTGCAGGAAAGGGCTCACCTAAACAAAGCTTGGAAAGCAGAACTTCAAAGAATTCAGAGCTGCTACATTCTATAAGAAATATAAATCATGAACAATGTTAGTAACTTCAGTCCGTAATTGTAGATTCGATGTGTCTAGCAACTAAATGAGTCCACAGAACCTTTCCGACCTGAGGGAATGTGAACAAAATTGTTATATTCATTCGAATTTGAAATCGATGTGTTTGATCGGCCTCTATCACTTACCATCATGATCAACCTGGCGATGAAAACTTGTTTTGTTCTGATTATATTTATAAGGCTTCGCTCGGCTAGAACGACAGTTTGAGTGAAGAAGGTTGTTGCATAAGTGCTGGGTTGGTCGACTGCTGGCTGAACGATGATCTGCTCATCTTTCAATTGACTTCTCGTATCATGCTGTGAACCATAAACACAAGTACGACATCAGAAGCTCCATCTCGTATGTCCGGCTTTCAGAAAGTCCATTATGTGGTCCTAACAGTCCAAAGCGCCAGTCAAATTGGGGTTGAGTTTGAGTTCTGAAGACTCACATAATATTCGACCAATTTGTGGAGGCCTTTGGGCCTATCTAGGATCTTGTTTACAGACTCTAAGATGTATTCGACAACTGTCATCTGCAAAAGGTGCCACATTCCAGTCAGTTCTTTGAATTCAATCTGCAATAATCAATCCAACACAGGAACTATTGTTCACCGTCGTGGCTTATCACTCAGGAGGATGACGTAGTTTTTGGATCTCTAATCTATTGATAACGGAAGGGCAGAAACGCATTCAAACTTGTTTGAGGTGGCGGAAAGTCACTTACATGTTCGGGCATGTTATAACCCATGTCTGAGTAAAAGTTGATCATCCCTACATGCGGTCCATGGTAGATGACATTCCCTTGAACAAGCACAAGAGTATTGTGGATCAATTCGAGAATCGAGTAGCTAGGTTGATGAAGTGTTAAAAGCACCGTGCGCCCATGCTGCTTGGCAATTGTTGACAGGTGCTCCATGACTTGCAGAGCTGACGCGCTGTCCAAACCAGAGGTCGGCTCATCCAACATTAGAACTGATGGGTCGTGAATCACGTCCACACCGATAGATACCCTCCTCCTCTCACCCCCAGATAGTCCTCGTATCTGCTCATCACGTCAACAATTCCGTAATTAACACAATAATTCTCCGCCTTTTTCTGCTCCTTTCGTAGCTTTACCAAATAACGTTAAGTAAGCACTCCCTTTGCGCTGATGGCTTGAGTAACGTGATCCTACTCGTACGATCAACACCTTTTCTGGCAAATCTCAGGTCGACAAGATAAATTTCAACACCCATTGGCTACTTGGAATATAAATGACACTGATAACTTAAATACAGACTTAAGTATTTTAGTGAATCTAAGTGAAGGGTAACTAAATCAAATGTTGAGACCAGACTGCCATTAGACTAGGCCCTGTGGATATGAAATCCCGAGCAGGAGATTTTACACAATATGACTTCTTTAAAGGGAGTAGATCGCATCAAAACTGTCACCCTAAAGATAGTTCAGATGGTGTTCTGATACTGTCATGAGAATGCCTCACACCGCATGATCAGTGCCACACACTCTGCCGTATCAATCTGTCATGAGATTCTACCGCAGCTCTCAAGTATATTGATGTTCCTTGGACTGAGTGTACTTCAGTCCATCGTTCCTCAAGTTTCACTCGCATTCAAGTCCTCTGATCCAGCAAATCTACACTTTGTACCATCCACTACAAAGTGTACATCTGCTGAAACTCTTGTCTTCGAGATGCATCGTGGACTGCCAACTCCGTTTCACCATCAGCTCGCCTCTGAGTCTGTCTGGGACTGAGACAACTGACACTGATCCATCGATGGCACAAAGATGACGGCCTAAGATGAAGTAATACATGCACGCGGTCTTGTGATGCGCATCTTCAAATGTAAATCTAGTTGAAGCCTTTGAGTGAAAGCTGACCTCGTCATTGCCGATTGGTGTGTTGGCGCACACGCTGAGGCCCAGCTGCTGGATGACGAGCTCCACACGCTCCAGCTTCTCGGCTTGAGTCATGCTTTCTCGCAACCTCAGACGAGCACTGAAGAGAAGAGTTTCTCTGACGGTGAGCAGAGGAAATAATGAATCGTCCTGCATTACGTAACCAGAAATTCGCTTGAATTTGTGGTCGATGGGCTTGCCGTTGACAAGCACAGTTCCTTCGAGGCATCTTCGGTCGATCCGCCCAGCAAGAGCATCTAGAAGCGTGGTCTTTCCAGATCCCGATGGACCAAAGATGCCCAGAACCTCGCCATGCCTCGCATCGGCTGTCACCTGGTTCAGCAGTGTTTTCTCCCTCTTCACTTTCTGAGCTTTTTCCTTTACCTTCACCTGCGCACAGATCAACAAACTCACTCAACGGGCCCTCAAGATTCCACATACACATTCCGACTATACAATTAGATCCAGTTTCTAATTCTAATTCTAATTCTAATTGGATCCAGTTTCTCTTCCACATTCTCCACACCTTCTACTAACGAATGTAGATCTGAGTCCATCAAAATCAATCATCTCTGATGCATGGTCCACAGCCTGATCCACGCTTCTTCTTCTCTAAGGTGTCCCTTCATCCTCAACGCGAAGCAGGGGCTCGATTCTTGGCATCAGATCCCAATCCAGTGTGTCTTTCTCTGGCTTCGCTCTAACCAGAACGTCCTCGTCGAAAGGAAGGTGTTGAATCGATTCCACTGAGGCCCCACCCTTCCTTTGGACATGGATTGCTCCATTCCAACGATCATACGATCCCAAGAGAGTTGTCTTTTTTTCTTGTTACCTCGGAGGGGTTAGAAATCATATTATCTCAGTTGTAACCGCTTTCAGACGGAGTTTTATTCCCACCCAGCTGCAGTGTGTGGCATTTCCCTCATACGGTGTGAAGAGTCGATCTATATTGAGATGATGCTTAAGCTTCCGATTGTGGCCAAAAAGATGGTAGCACCAAGCTCGTCGGTGAGACTGGTGATATATCATGTTGACAAGGTGAAAGAGACTGAATTAAAAGATGACTTTGTATCGAACCACAAGGACAGGCTTGGCTACCACCCTGTGGAGCCTGCGCTTCAAGTGAGAATGAATACGTACTTATTCATGCTATCAAATGGTGAGAGATTTCATACCAATAGCCAAAATACCTACAGGCATCCAAAATACCTACAGGCATGGGGTACGTGCTATCGAAAGGAACCCAGGCTAAGGGGTGCGCAAAGCCGACTCGAGCTGCAGGAGCCTTTGCTCAACATGCTACATTGAATGGAGTAGAAACGAATTGACAGATTCGAACGAAGAGGGAAGTAAGAACCGGATACACGCACCTTGTAGGTGAGATTCTGAATGCATATTTCAAATGCGCGTCGCTTTGGAAGGCGTAGAGGAGACGACTTTCCAGCCAATGGCTGGACCTCGGGACGATCACCGGGTTGCATGCTCGTCATCGTTCGGACTCGAGAAGGCCGCCTCTCAATCTCCAGAGCATTTTGCTTGAGACTCAAACTGTACTGGAAAATTGGTGACATGGGGTTTTCCAGGACAGCATCGTCATCTACGACGGGCAATGCTTCTGTGAGGCTGTACTCTCGACTGTATTCTCGATTGTAGATGGGAACGGACGCCTCTCGACAGTATTGTTCTCGACTGTAGCTAGGAATTGAAGAATACGTCGGACCCGACATTGTTCCTGAATCTGAATGCGACTCTTCCACTGGTGCAGCCTCAAGGCGAATGCCTCGTCGTTCTGCAATTGGAGGTTTTCCCAGCTATACTGTTCGGCCTCGAAATCAGTTCCCCAGTCTAATAAGTGGTCGACCTCTGACGAGTGCTGAGCTCTGAGTTTTGGGCAAGTTGATCACCTGGAGATAGAATTGATAAAATCCAGTAATAATCAGAGAACCATCCATTGATATCTACCTCCAGATCTCTCTATCTCCAGGAATTTCCTCAGGATCTACGTCCCGAGACACGTCTGGAGCAAGAATGTCCTCGACCAAGCCTAATCTATCTTTGAGACATGCTGAACGTCTCTACGTCCTGGGAAGCTGACAAACGAGCAAACAAACAAAGGAACATCAATATGGAAGACGGCGAGGCTCCGTTTCCTTCATCGATCATCAGCTGGAATCACACTCGTGTTGCTCGAGGCAACATTGCCTGGAATTCGATGGCATATCCATAATTTAGTGCAAAATAGCAGATGAGAACTACAATTAAATTCGAGAGGAGCTTCGGTGTAGATGTGGCAGGTAGTTCCATTCCCTACTGATCCAAAACTTGCTTAGAACCCAGTGCAAGAGCATTTTCTGAGCGGGTATATTGGTCGACAGATGGACAAACAACCGGAATAGAGATGGAATGTTCAGAGCCCGAGGCATCGCCAGGCTGCCTATATCCTCACAGACGAGAGAAAAAGTATTCAGGTTGCGTAGCAGCCGCACATGTCACTGCAGATGGCGAAAAGCTCTCGGGAATCTCCTACAGATGTAAATGGTGATCTCCTCAGCGTGTGCGCTGCATGGGTCTTGCATGTTTCGGAAGCAGGGGAGGCACAGAGCCAACCCTCCGGATGCATGAGTTCACGCCCCAACGGCCGCAGAGGAGCAAATCAACTAACTCGGAACGCGCTGGCACAGCTCAAGCTCTGGTCACAAGGCTCAGAATGTTCTTGCCTGTGATGAAAAAATCTGACCATGCGGTCAATGTTCATGCAAGCGTCACGAATGATCCAAACGCTCAGCTGCCAGTCACAAGCCTGTGGCTTTACAACTTCAACAGCAACATCAGTCTCGAGATCTGCCGCCGGGTCCGGGTCCGGATTGTAATATTTCTTAATCTTCGGTTCATGTGCAATGAAGTCCATCACTGTTGTCCCCATGACCACTGGTCACGGCCTCCCTCTCTCCGCACGAACTCGACTAACCTCTCAACTCTCGTTATTCCTGCCCTTCCACTGGGGACACCACACCAGTGCAGACCATGAGGAAAGAGCAGGGAAGCGCGGTCGGTTGCTGTGAGATCGAACGCGTTCTTTCCTCCACTTTGCTTGCACGATCGCCATCTAAGAACTGTAGCGCTCCGAAGACGGACCTGGAGCTTTGGACCACTCAGCCCACAGTGGAATTTCCATCGTTTGCGGCCATCTACTGCTCGGGTCATCCGCAATTAGACTTGATTATTAAATGTCTTGAAACATGTTAGGTCCAGTTATATTGCGATGCGATAACATGAATATGTGGATGCTTCTTAAGATTCAGAACACTCGATTTCTTTATTCAGACTTAAGGGTTTTTAGTTCCGCGACGAAATTCTTAAGTTCGAGGTTGTGGAATATTTTTCGACATACAGCAGCAGGCGTAGAGGTCTCCAATCATTCCTCCTGTTTGAAAGCCCTCCATCGAAGTGTGTGCCCCGTACCAGTGCTGGCTACAACTCGTACCCTCCTTCACAGATGCCCAGGCGAGACTATCTTTTGACCTTGAAACATCCATCCCCACCATTTGCATAAAATCACAGAACGTGCGAGTCAAGTCGTCTGGTACCTTTTGCTCCTAGCTTGTTTGGCAGCTTGTTCGGCAGGCCTCATTAAGTCTTTGTCGGCACAATTGACATTTTTATGAAGGTTCGTAGCTGGTGATGCCAAAAAGATCATCAGCACTTTTCGTGAGAGTTTGATATGAAGCACCCATATGATAGACGTAGCCCAGTCAGATGTTCCAACTCGAGGAGAGGCCTATTCCGAGAAGGCCACTACCGCTGGCAAGAAGATTGCAGTATACTAGATTATGGTATAAACCCACATTACCATTTTTGGCCCTTACATAGCGCAGAAATGAAGTCATTTTCCATTATTGAAAATTGGCAAAATCTTAATAAATCTTGTTTTTTATATGCAAATATTTAACTAACATAAGTGTTGATACATGGGATAATATCCGCCCATATAAGAGAATAAAAATTTTAAGCTCAACAATTATATGTAGAATTCAAAAGTTTTACATGGGAAAAAAATATCATGCTATGATGTTTGATTTTCAAAATTCAAATATAATTTAGATTTTGAAATAATTTTATTAAAAATAATATAAATTTATAATTATAGTAATCATATCATATCAATTTTTTGTGGTTGATTTGATGTGAATCATCTTGTTTAATCTGTCCACCAAAACTAACATTGAATCATGTCATAACGAAATCTTTAATAACTCACATATGAAATATATGGTGACATGTTGTGATCACTGTAAGAGAAGAAAAAGAGTGTTTAAAAAAATAGCTGGTTTTTGATTACTTGACTTGATTGTTGGCAAGCAACACAATTTTGAACGTAAAATTCCACATTTTCATATATTTTTGACCAATAGTACACTTATTGTATGGTCTTCACAAGTTTTTCCAACTCTACATAAACTATAATGACTATGTGAAATCTAACTGTAAACTACAATGACTATGTCATGAATTTTGGCCAAATTCATTGTCTGCAATTCTTGATCTTGTGAAATCCCTATGCGATGTTTGTGGAACGCTAAACTCGATACTTCTCCGCCTTTTGAATTTGTAAAACTCTAGTGATCTCTTCATCAAACTTTGTGGTTTGTGTCAACTTGCTCCACCAAGAAATCTAAATTTTCACTTCTACAACATGATTAACACAATGTATGCACGTGGGAGCATCCACAAGTTGCTTCTTGCCTTTCACATACAATCTTCATGTTGAAACGTTGACGTCATTTTGCGCATCAAATTTGTTTTTTAGAAAGATACTTTTGAGTTTCTAAATAAATCAGGAATTTCTGATCAGTCTCCACTATAACCTCTTTATCATCCAAGGAATGCTTTTAGTGTTTTGTTGCCAACACAATGACTACCTCCTCGTATTCTGTCGTTTGATAATTTCAAGATTAGAGAGTAACTAGATGTCATTCATACTTCCATTCTTGTTGAAATATGCCACCCACTGTTGTATTTGATAAGACAGTTATGATCCTATCACTTGAATATAGGTGCGTGTAAAAAATCATCTTTCAATGCTTGAAAAACTAACTCTTGAATTGTTTTTCATCTTCATATTTGACCTTTTCTTGGCATGGAAATCAAGGCCTAAGCTAGGCGAGCAAAACATTTCACAAATCTACGATAGAATCCAATGAATACTAAAAAGCTCTTCAATTCATTTTGATCTTCAAGTGCTATACATTTTTTATGGCATCTATCTTTTCATTCATTACTTGGACATCTGTAGCTCTAAATCTATGACTCAAGTAATCTATTCTTGATTTGCCAAATTCACATTTTGAAGCTTTGGCAATTCATTTTGATCTTCAAGTGCTATACATTTTTTATGGCATTTATCTTTTTATTCATTACTTGGATTCCTGTAGCTCTAAATCTATGACTCAAGTAATCTATTCTTGATTTGCCAAATTCACATTTTGAAGCTTTGGAATATAATTGATTGTTTTCCAAAACTTGAAATACTTCTAGTAAATGATGTCTATGATAATTCCAAGTTTTGCTATGCACCAATATATCATATAGAAAAACAATGATAGATCTATCTAGATAAACTCAAAAGATATTGATTATCATTTTCATGAATGTAAATGGTGCATTAGTGAGATTAAAAGACATCATTAGATACCCAAAGTGACAATATCTAATACAATGCAAAGTCTTGTGGATATCTTTATCTGCAATTCAAACTTGATTGTAGCTGCTTCTCAAATCCAGCTCGGTTAAGAACTTCTCTCTTTGAAGTTTATCAAACAAATTATTTATACGAGACAAAGAATATTTGTTTTTCACCGTTTATTGATTCAATCCCTTGTAATGGATGTATAATATCATAGATACATACTTTTTTTTCACAAAAATCATTGGACCTCCATAAAATGAAACATTTTGTTGAATGAATACCTTGCTTAACATCTCCTCCACTTGAGCTTTGTATAATTCCAATTCGTTTGGAGTCAAACGATATGAAACTTTGTGTAACCATCTTTAGTTACTAAGAACTAAAGTAGAGGTTACACTAAATGTTGATATAGATACTTTAGAGGACACTAGTCGTAGCTGCCACGTCAGCGATCCGTGCGCTTGGTAGGTAGAAAGTAGGTATGCTTGTTGACAAAACCATGTCAGCGATCCGTGTGCTTAATAGGTAAGGATTGAGTGTGTTAGTTGGGAGCGTCACGTCAGCGATCCGTGTGCTTTTTAAGGTTATCCACCGGTTATAAATTTAGGGTTATTTAGTGCTTTTTAGGGTCATCAATGCACTAGGAGTGAGATGGATGATGGAGATAAGATCTTATCTCCTTGTACTTGTTGGTGAGAGCTATATAAGGGAGAGGAGAACCATTGTTGGTATCTCTCATCTTCAGAGTTTACGTTTCTATCTTCAAGTGAGCTTCTCTCTAAACCCTAGTGTTACATGGTATCAGAGCGACATTGCTCTTTCCTTGAGTGTGGATTACCCCTCATGGAATAGCAAGTGAGTGATGATGGAGTGCAATTTTGAGAGTGTATAGAGTCTGGCAGAGGTCATTGATTTGCATGTAGAGAGAGTTTGAAGGGAGAAAATTGTGGTTTTGCAGATATGGACGGTATTGACAAGAATCCAGTACCGCACTGGCCAATTCCTAACCTTTTTGATATTCACCTTCGTTGCATGGAGAAACATCATTTTTGGATGTACCTTGTGGCTTGTTGGGATGCAGATTTTATGACTAGAGTGATAGAGTCGAGAATGCCGTTGATTCTACCAATAGGTACTTATGGAAAGACTTGGGATTGTACCATATACATTCTATACTGAATGTTTCATGAATTTGAATCGCGAACCACCTCTCCCGGTTCGGTTCAGCACTTATGTAGAGATTAGAACAGTATACCGACAGAAGAGGATATGGAGAGATTTTATTGTGAGGAATTATGGAGTGGAGATAGAGCTGTGATAGAATCACCTGCACCTTTTGTGACTCCTTTGTTGAGAGGTCACATAATGATTATACTCACTTTGTGAGAAAGCATGGACACATCAATAGATATGGGTGAGGTTCTCAATGCAATCATGGCAAAGATGAAGGAGTTGAGAAAAGCGATAGTAGATGAGCATACCAAGCAACAAGCCATGGAAGATAAAATCTTTGCATTGGAGAGAGAGATAGTAGAGAGAGTGATGAGTTAGAGAGATGAAAGTTGAACCTCAAGCTCAAGCTTCCCAAGTTCAGTCAGAATCAGCTCCTATTGATGCAGCACAGACAAATATACACACATAGGCACATATAACATAGGAGACGTCTTCAAGAGATTGAAGACCAAGCAAATCTTTTGCTTCCAATGGGAAAATCTTGTAAGATGGAAGCTTACAAAGAGAGTAGAGCAATGGGAGTGTTCGAGGGATGGATAATGAGTATGAATATTCATTTATCCCATTTTCATGTTTCTAATTACATTGGAGGAATATTCATGAGATCTTATCTTACGGATAAGGCTTTCACATGGTACACAACATGGGAGAGAATGCTTTCGAAACGAGGTGCTACCATTTCGTGGAATGGAATGCAAGACGAACTTCTGCAAAATTTTCAAGCGGTGGACTCTCTTCAAACTGCAAGAATGAAGTTGTGGGATCTGAAACAAAAAGGAGGTATTCATGAGTACATTGAAGAATTTTGTGATGTTCAAGTATCTATCATGGATATGAGTGGAGCTGAAGCCT